CCGGGAAAAGGTAAATGTTCTTTTTGTAGTTTTCTTAACAATTTAATCTTTTAGACATACAAATTTCCAAGGTCAGCTATCAACCCATGGGCAGATAGTCTCTCCACCGATGAACACCATCGCGTCACGTGATCAATTTAAACCAATAAAAATCGGAAAATATTAGCGGTGAACTGTATCTGCCCATCCAAGGAAAATACCCGGATGGATAGTACCTTGTCCGTGAAAATTGTTCTGTAAACAAGCGGTTTTGTAGAAAAAAAGAAAGATTGATTAATCAGTATTGAGTGGGTTTTTGTCTAATTTCTTTTTCGAATTTTACATTTAACTTTCATGCCTTTCATCTAAAAAATTGGAAAGTAATTCAATACGGTTTTTAACCTGGCGCGCAGAAGAAAATTTAGTATTGAATATTATTATATAAACACTAGTGAAATGCCAGATTTTCTAAAAACAAGCATATTTGCCCTCTAAGTTTCGCTTGTCGACAATTATTTATTTTAATAACATCAAATTCCCGGGGACAACTATCAGCCGATGGTTCCTCGACAGGAACACTTTATTGTTTAAATGGTGTTTCTTCGACGATGAACACTATCGCGTCATGTAATCAAATTAAACCAATAAGAATTGGAGAAAATTTCGTGTTGAACTATACCCATGATAGTGCCCGGACAAGATTGCACCACGTGATCAGTTTTGACCAATGACGACAGTGTAAAAATTCAGTGGTGAACTTCAATGGCATATATTGCCAATCAGATTGCAGCAGGCTTTTGATTTGGACAACTACCCTTTATAATGTCCAGTAGTAAAACATTTTTACAACTCGCCACTAATTTCTGTCAGCGATGGTGAACTCAGCTGCCCATCAGATTTGACTATTCGTTCATAGAAAACAAAGGCTTGGAGTATACTCGTTAAGTAAGAACACAGGATTCTTAGTTTTTTAGTTCTTGAATATACCACTTTAACAGATCTGATCTGTAAAACACTTTGCCTCGGATGAACGTTTATTTTGTAAGTGACAGAGTTCCTGTTTTGATCACTTTTGTGACTAGGTGTCACATAATGCCTCTCCAGAGCGCTTCCAATCTTCTCTGTCTGATTTCGTACTTCCGTCCATCTTCCGTGTCAGATTACACTAGAAATGTTCCGCTGAATGGTCGTTTTATTCATGGAAATCAACTTCTGATTTCTTTGCAACATCCTCCGGCGCAGCAGGACCCACGTGAGCGGTCTCCGTTTGGCAGTCCAGTGTCCAGGCCCTTCGAGAGGAAGGCGTACTAAACGTCGACGCACGCGACCTCACCTGCCGAAACCACGAGCATGCAAACAAAATGTTCTTGAATTCGCGTCTATAATTTTCGCTGAACAGTGCATACAGTACGGGCGTCAATGCGCAGTTAAAATGAGCGAAAAGGAGTCTGAGATACAGAACGTTGCACGAAATGGCAACGTTATAAGATTCCATAACAGCCACGATAAAGTAGAGGATCCAGCAGAGGATAAAAGCGGTGATCACCACGAGCACCATGCGGGACACTTTCTTGTTCACCTCAGTGGGCTGTACAGCTTCGGCCGTCACTCTATTCCCAGGCCTTCCTCTCCTCTTCAGTGTAAAGATCGTGCCTGAGTATAAAGCGATCATCACTCCTAAGGGCGTGGCATACATGCCAATCAAGTTGAATTTGTGGTACACCACGGACACACCCGACCAGAGCATCGTATCTAAGGACAGCTTACAGTACGTTTTTCCACAGCTCACAGCTGTAGTGTTGGCAACGAGTATCGGGACCCTGATCATCGATGAAAGGAACCATGTCAAGGCAATGAGATGACGGGCGGCTTTGGTGTTTTTAGTCAACGATTGCAAGGGGCGAATGACTGCCAGAAATCGCTCACCGCTGATACACACTGCTGAGAAAATAGAGACGCTGACCGAAGTTTCATGAATGAAATAAACCAGTTTGCAAAACACTAGGCCGGCCACTCCTGTGGACAGCCATTCGTAGCCTGCAAGAAGGATAGAGACAACTCGTGGCATATAAACCAGTGTGATTAACAAATCGCTCAAAGCCATATTTACAATGAAGAAGTTCACAGCTTTGCGCATGGGGCGATTGTTGAAGACAACGGCCGTTACCAGGATGTTACCCACCACAGAGATAAGAATAATGAAAAAATATGGAAGCACTCTGGTTACTTTGATGGTTGTAGAATCCGCGTCGAAACAGGAACTTTCCACAAGATCGGCCACTTCGGCGGAGCAGCTGGTATTAGGTAAGTCATCACTATGATACGCCATACTTTCGATACCCGAGTGCACTATTGCAAACTCGTGATAGATCTGTAGATCTGTATCAAATAAAGACAAAATTTACAACAATTAAACCCAACAATGTCTACAACTACATCACCTTGTGTGGGGAAATATATTTTAAACACAGGTTTGCAATTCTTAATGGGGAGCTCTGTTGCAAGATAGAGGTGGCATTGAATATGGTGGCTCATACATCCAATGCTTATTCTAATTTCCAGATGTCTATTTCATTAAGCAAATAATATTTCAATGCATGAAATTTAACTCTTAATGCAGGATTTTCTCCTGTTAGTGCACAAATACAATATCTCAACGCACAAATGAAGATTTTTAGTGTACAAATAGAATTTTCCAGTGCACAAATCAGACATTTCTCTCGGAAAACCAAATTCTATATTCACGTACTTTTCGCCAGTGTGCAAATAAAGTTTTCTCATCGCGCAAATACAATTTCCCAGTGCACAAATAAAAAGTCTCATTCGTAGCACAAAGTGTTATGTACTCATGCAATTTGGTAATTTTGTGCACACAGTTGCAAGACATTTTTCGGCGCAAGACTGTTTTCCACTGGCAAGAAACTGGTTGGTTTTATTTTGCCGTATTATGAAGCCATCTTTCTTGCTCAGCAACTGCAACTATCTTTCATAACTCAGTGACTAAAAGCGTGTTTTATATCTGGTGTGAGACTAGATTTCATTTGCATTTAGAGACAATTTTCATTGCCAAATTTGGCCAGCTGTGGTGCAGACTTAAATATTTGCGCATTGGCTGAAAAATTAACTTTCGTGTCCTAAAATTCTACATTGAATATAAACACTACTGTAAAAGACCCGTACACCAACAAGCTTTTCGACATGTTTTAAAGAAGTAATCTGCATTTCTAACATAGAATCAGTCCCTTAATTTTAGTTGGAATAAATTTTCTTTGGGAGTCGCTTGCTTGGAGATTATTAATGGATATTTTAAGAAAACTTATGAGACGCGAAGATACTTAAAAATTTAACAAAACTGAAATGACAGCGCGGTATAAATCATACTCGAAGAAGGAAAAAAAATTGGCAGGTCGTACAATAGAGAAAGAAAGCAAATATTGAGCATGCAACATAAGAAAGCTACTTGAGAAACATACTGTACCTTCAACTTGTCAAGAAATTTTTTGAAAATGTTCCAGGGAGTGAGCAACTTTCCAAAGGTTAGCATTGTTGCATTTAACAAAAATCGAACTCAACAAGATCACCGCACGTTTGGATTGTGTCTTTGAAAAAATTGAAATTGAAAAACTTTAAAATTGCAGCCGATTTTTAGACATGATGCTTGTTAGGAAGAAATTAACATAAAAGGCTATGAAGCAATAAAGTGGCCGAAATTAATTTTAACGACTTGGAAAGTGATCAAAACCTCTCTCAAAACCATTAACATCGCAAAAAGCTTGACTGACGTAAGTACTGAACAATTAGAGTGGTGAATTATTAAACATACTTTCTTTAACAAGTTTCCTCCCACAGATAACGTACTGAAATATTATGTCACTACACGCAATATGCAATTGTTTGTTCATAAGTAAAAGTCTTTCAACCTTGAAAATTTTAGTTCTACTTATTTCACTAATACTAAGAAAGACTGTTCATAAGTTAAACAGGTTGGTTAAATTCAAAATATCAATTGGATTTAATTTCTGGCTTTCCTATTAGCTCTCTCTCCTTACATGACATCAGCTCATAGGAGACAGCTGCCTATGTTTAGTCTATCAGCGTGCAGTCCTTTTAAGATTTTGGTCTTCCTGAAAGTTTTTCAAAAGCTGACTAAACCATTTGCTATATTTGTCCGTCAAAATGCCAAAATTACTTAAACTGCGTGCTATATATAATTTGATACAAAAACATTTAACTTAAAAGGCTTGTAAAAGTACAACACAAGCGGCTGAGGGGACTGAATAACGATGGAAAGGAGCAAAGGACATTTAAGGGAAATGAGTGAATGAGTCAATCTTTTACTTCAGCTGTTGATTCTCGGCTCGCTTTTATTTCAGTACATCAATAGGGCTTTTAAACAGTTGATCATGTGACCAGCTCTCGTAAAATATGCAGTTGGAGCAAAATTAATTCAGGAAACGGAAATAACATCTTGTAATTGGTCCGAACACCAGTTTTTAGACTATTACTGGCGTATTAGAAGACTTTGTACGGAGTTGAAAAAGCCTTGCAATCCAAGTACAATTTCTTTAAATAATCACGTCTAAAGGAGGATGAAATTGCACAACTTCAGTAAGAAATGGGAAGAAAGTGTGGAAATTAACCAGTAAACCGCTGGGCATAGATTTTCGGGCAGATTGAAAATCAAAAAATTAACAATGATTTGTTGGAAAAGCACCAGAGCGGCATCCTTCTAGGTTTCAAACGACCATAAAAATATTTACTTTTAAAATAAACATCTGAAAATTTGTACGCTTCCTAGTTTCTTTGCACTCTTTCCGTTTCTGATAAGTGAATTACTTTTGTGTCTAAACAAAGTAGCTCCTGTAGCCAAATGTTTCAAAAGACCCATTTGTAGTCTTGATGAAGACAGCCTTGTAGTCGTAAAACCTTTACACTGACGATTAACTTCGCACTCTTTATTTACCTTGATCAACATCAAATTGATACATAGCTAACTGGTTAACTTACCCACCAACACAACCCAGCAGTTTCTC